GTTGCCCAGGCGGGTCTCGAACCCGCGGGCTCAGGCAATTCACTCACTTCGGCCTCCCAAGGCGCGGGATTACAGGCTGAGCCACCGAGCCCAGCTAATGATGAAATTTAAACTGCGGAGTCTATGGAAGTTCTCCCAAGACTCTGGAGAGTTCCTTAGTCTGGAGGGCGCTCCTCAGAGTGCATGGCCCCTCATCAGCACCACAGCCCTCCTACTGAGGAAGAGGAGTCCCAGGTCTTGCCACTCAGGGCTGCCCTCTCCCTTCCTTTCTGTCTCCTACAGGTGCCAGCTGTGAGGACAAGCCAGCCACTGGAGAGCTGGCCCAGGAGGCTGAAGAGGGCCTCTTCACATACATGTTTCGGCCGTCACAGCACACGCGCAGCCGCCAGGTGACTTCGGCTCAGCTGTGGTTCCACACCGGGCTGGACAAGCAGACCACAGCAGCCTCCAATAGCTCTGGTCCTTTGCTAGGCCTGCTGGCACTGTCATCCGGAGGGCCCATGGCTGTGCCCATGTCCTTGGGCCAGGCCCCCCCTCGCTGGGCTGTGCTGCACCTGGCCGCCTCCGCTCTCCCTCTGCTGACCCACCCTGTCCTGGTGTTACTGCTGCGCTGTCCTCTCTGTTCCTGCTCAGCCAGGCCTGAGGCCACACCCTTCCTGGTGGCTCACACGCGGGCCAGACCACCCAGCGGTGGGGAGAGAGCCCGGCGCTCAACTCCCCCGATGCCCTGGCCTTGGTCTCCTGCCGCTCTGCGCTTGCTGCAGAGGCCTCCGGAGGAACTGGCTGCCCATGCCAACTGCCACAGAGCAGCACTGAACATCTCCTTCCAGGAGCTGGGCTGGGACCGGTGGATCGTGCACCCTCCCAGTTTCATCTTCCACTACTGTCATGGTGGCTGTGGGCTGCCCACCCCACCAGACATGCCCCTGACAGTCCCTGGGGCTCCCCCAACCCCTGCCCAGCCCCTTTCCTTGGTGCCAGGGGCCCAGCCCTGCTGTGCTGCTCTCCCAGGGACCATGAGGCCCCTACGTGTCCGCACCACCTCAGATGGAGGTTACTCTTACAAGTATGAGACGGTGCCCAACCTTCTCACGCAACACTGTGCTTGTATCTGAAGGGTTCCTGCTTCCTTATCCCATGGCTGGTGGCCGAGTCCCATCATCATCAGCTGGGAAGAGAGCAGAGTTTGGAAAGTAGATTTCACTTCCCTATCCTTCCACCTCTTTGTCTGAGGCCTCCCCTCCTCATCCTACCCCTGTCCCGTGGGTAACATGTGACAATAAAGAACATAGAGCATATGACCTGACATGGGCTCTCGGGCTTCTCGCCTATGGTGTCGGGGAATCTGGGCCCAGGAGCATGGGATTGTGAGATCTCAGGTCACTTGGCTACACTTGACCTCGAAGCTCTGGGGTTCAGGAGCTGGAATGTGTACCTGCTGGGAATCTGCAACGCATGGGAATGACACAAAAGTGCTCCAAGCTCCTCCAACAGCCTCTCTGTTGCTGAACCTGGCATGTCTGTCAGGTTGCCTGCCCTGCATGCCTAAAGGAAGCTGCTGTACTCATAGTGCCTATATCAAGGCAGCCGTAAGCCTCTTCCCCTGCCATTCTCTGCCCTAGCTTATGGACACTTCACCCAGAGTCAGATGATTCATGGCCTGGCCAGAGATTATGGCCTTTGGAGCCCCCTAAGACACTGGTTCAGAGCTGATCAGATCTTGGGGTCTCTTGGGAACTTGGGTGGGATGTAAGGGAAAGATGTGTGAGTTGGCAACGTCAGAAAGAAGTCGACAAGGGCAGAGGCACTGTCATGTTAAGGTTCATTCTCAGAATGAAGACTTGAGGATTTCAGTTTGTCAAGGGTCTCTCTATGAACTGTGGCTCACTCTGAGGCCTCCTGTAAGGGATTCCAGGTCTTGAAATCTTTGGCACCTTTGATGACCCCTGTGTTTCTTTATATAAAACCTTAACTCAGACCTTAATGTCAGAAGAATGGAAAGGTAGAACCTACCGCCAGAAAAAAAAAGTACTCTTTTTTGAATTGATGTGCACAGAGCATGGTACAAAACAGTGCTTTTCTCTTCCCATTGTGTTTTCCATCAATTTGTCAATGTCTCTAGAATTGAGCATTGGGAAGCCCTACTTCTTCTGCCCTGTTTTGTTTTTATTTTTCGTGTTTATTTTCATTCTGCTCTTTTCCCCTGAGTCTTGTTACCCTTCTGCTCCACCTCACAGTCCCAGTTCTCAGCCTCAATCAATCTATCTCTCTCTCTCTTTCTCTCTCTTGCTCTCGCTCTCGCTCTGTGTGTGTGTGTGTAGGCTGATCAGAATGAAACTTGACAGCACTTTCTGCTATTGACTGCCCAACTCCAGTGTGTATGTATATTTATCCTATCAGAACCCAGCTTGTCAAAGACTCCCTTCTACCAGCCCAGCCACATGGGGTGGCTGGGAAGTGCCTGCCCCAGCAAGGGAGTGTGGAAGGGAAAGAATTTCATCCTGTCACACTTATGCGAATACCCTTCCCCCACTTGTGCTAACCTGAATGAGCTACTGTTCCCTGCAGTACCGGAGTCTTTCAGAGCCCACGTACACACTCCTGCACAAGGCCTAGGTGTCGTGTCCCTCCCCCGCCGCCCCCCCCCGTCAGCTGCCACTGCTCTGGAGCGGGCAACCTGCCTGTCCACAGTCCCAAGTCTCTCGCAGCACTTTCATCGCAACCTGGCGTGGGAAGCGCCCTGTGCTCAGGGACACAAGGGTCTCTACTTAGGCGGCAGACTGGGGAGAGGCCTGCTTGGATTCAGCCAGTGGTGGGAATGGGGTGTTCCTTAAACCTATCTGTGTTCTACTTGCTCCCTGTCTGCCTTTCCTGGCCAGATCCAAATAGCAAGGCCTTTCCCTGGGATTTCCAACTTTCCTACTAGGCTTAGGCTCCTCATTCTTCCTGATGGGACCTGCTAGGGCCCTGGATTATCTAGATGTTCCCTGTTCCCCAGATGTGAACGGGCTCTGAGGGCTGGGGACCGCCTACTGAGGGGAGGAGGATTCTCCAGGAGGCCAGTTAGAAGATTGGTATTACAAGTAAAAAGTTTTCACATCTCAGACAAAGTGAGAAAAGTATGAGTGAGTCTTTCACAAAGCCATATGTATTCATTTTAAAGGATTGTCCTTTATTCTGAAGTCATTCATTATCCTTTCTGTGTGTGTGTGTGTGTGTGTGTGTGTGTGTGTGTGTGTGTGTAAAAGTGTTATCTTTTTCATGGTGTTGTGAAGATGAAAGAAGGCAGTGGGTTTTTTGTTTGTTTTCTATGTTTTTAGTTAACAAAATTAAAACCGGGCAATTCTAGTTTGAACCCTAAGATTTTTCTTTGGAATTTTGCTGCTCTGTGAAATCCCAAAGTCTGAGAGTAACTGGTCTGGGCCACACCATCCAGGATCCCTAGGACTTCAGATTCTGCTAATGTAGCAAATCAAGAATGTCCACCTCTCCCTAAGAGGGGCCTGACCATGACAACAGACAACTTTTTGGTCTTCTATTTTCATGAGATTAACCCAAGAGCAGTGGACCTCAAAGATGCTCCCTGTTCCCAATGCTAATCTGTTGTGCCGGTTCCCAAGGACCCCAAAAGGGGAGGCACTTTGTCTGAGGGGTCGAAGAAATGACCCAGAGACAATGGACAAGACATAGGCTTTATTTGGGAACTTACTTATAGGGAAGATGGTCCAGGAGTGGCCAGCTGGATAGGAATTTTACACAGATGGAGTACAGGGTTAAGCGTGGAAAGTGTAGGGTTTCTAGTGCACGGGTGCAGCGTGAGAAGGTACTTACACATATGTCACATGTGCATAAAATGGCTGCGAATTCTCTCTAGGGGTGTGATTTTTAATATTATAATGAACTAAAGGTGAACTAAAGATAACCAAAGGCTATGGGCATTGATCTAGGCATGCCCGATCTGGTCTGAACCAGCCTCAAGGAAAGGTGCAAGAGAACATTCACTAAGCATAGCTGCAAGATGTGGTCAGCAGGTGCAGGAAACAGTTCACCTATGGCCTCAGCATGACCTGCATGCTCAGGCATGGAGCCTGAGGGGAAGAGGACATCCTGGGTTGGTCACTCCCAGTACCCCTCCAACCCCTGCTTAGAGCCATATTCAGGGTATGCTCATGTTGTCATCGAGTGTGTGTTGCCCTACATAATCATTAGGGACATTCTATGAGTACTCTTAACTTGAAGTCAGTTTAATAAGAAAACCAACTCAAACTAACTTAGGCAAAAAAAAATTTTTTTATTTTTAGGGATGAGGTCTTACCATGTTGCCTAAGCTGGTCTTGAACTTGTGGGTCAGACAATCCTCTCACTTCGGCCTTCCAAAGTGCTGAGATTATAGGTGTGAGCCACTGTGACCGGCAAAATTTCTTTTTAAACCAGTCAGGCATGGTGGCTCACGCCTGTAATCTCAGTACTTTAGGAGGCCAAGATGGAAGAATTGCTTGAGCCCAGGAGTTCAAGACCAGCCTAGGAAACAAAGTGAGACCCTGTCTCTAAAAAAAACTAAAAAACTTGCCAAGGCAAAGAGGATTGCTTGAGCCCAGGGGTTCGAGACCAGCCTGGGTAACTTGGCAAGACCTTGTCTCTACAATAAAATAAAAAAATTAGCTGGGCATGGTAGTTCGCGCTTGTAGTTCCAGCTACTTGGAAGGCTGAGGTGGAAGGATCACCTGAGCCCAGTAGGTCGAGGCTGCGGTGGACATGAGCAGCGTGCCACCGCATTCCAGCCTGAGTGACAGAGTGAAACTTCAACTAAAAAAAAAACTAAAAAAATTATCTGGGCGTGGTGGCGCACACCTATAGTCTCAGCTACTCAGGAGGCTGAGATGGAAGGATTGCCTGAACCCAGGAAGTTGAGACTGTGATGAGTCATGATTGTGCCACGGCACTCCAGCCTGGGTGACAGAGTGAGACCCCAACTCAAAGACAAAAGCAAAAACAAACTATCAGCACTGGCTCCTTGGGTGAGTGAGACCCCAACTCAAAGTGAGACCCCAACTCAAAGACAAAAGCAAAAACAAACCATCAGCACTGGCTCCTTGGCTCATAACAAATCTGCAGGCACAACTGGCTAAGGTATGGCTCATTTCTGGGCTCAAAAGATGCTCCCAGGATCCATCTATAGGCTCTACTCTTTCCCAGGTCCATGGCCCCCCAGACAGCTCCCATCATCATATGACTTGGTCCAGAGGAGGGAGATAACTTACAAAAGTCCCAGGACAGTTGCTCCCCACCCCACAACAGTGTCCTGCTCTGTCACCTCACCCAGGCTGGAGTACAGTGGTGCAATTATAGCTCACTGCAGCCTTGAATTCCTGGACTCAATCGTCCCGTCTCAGCCTCCTCATAGCTGAGGTTGTTTTTTTTTTGAGCTGGAGTCTCACTCTGTTGCTCAGACTGGAGTGCAGTGGCCGCTCCCGGCCACCGCAGCTTCGATCTGCTGGGCTCCGGCGATCCTTCTTCCTCAGCCTTCCAAGTAGCTGGAACTACAGGCACGTGCTACCACACCCGGCTGATTTTTTGATTTATTGTAGAGATGAGGTCTCGCCAAGTTGCCCAGGCAGGTCTCGAACCCGCGGGCTCAGGCAATCCACTCACCTCAGCCTCCCAAAGGCGCGGGATTACAGGTTGAGCCACCCAGCCTGGCTATAGCTGAGATTATAGGCACATACCATTATACCTGGCTAATTTAAAAAACAACAACTTTTTTTTTAGAGATGAGTTTTGCTGTGTTGCCCAAGCTTGTCTCAAACTCCAGATTTCAAGCAATCCTCTCACTTTAGCCTCTCAAAGTGTTGGGATTACAGGTGTGAGTCACTACACCCGGCCCCAGGACAGATCTTGGGAGCCTGATTGTACTGATTAAGGTAACATACGCCTCAGGAAAGGTGGCCTGAGTTAAAACCTTCGCCCAGATCATGTGTCCTTTTCCTGGAGCCTGAAGCTTAATGTCTAAGGGCTAAAGATGAAAAGAGGTGATATCCCCAAAGCAGGGACAATTACCACAAAAAGTTGGGGTAGAGGCTGAAACCCAAGCACGGCTGGTTCCTCCTCCTAAATATCTCTCAAAACAAGCCCTCTCTCTTGCTGTGCTACATGCTGTTTTGCAATTCTTGATTGGGCAATTCAGCAGCCTCCTAAACCCCTCCATCCATCCCCACATGGCTGCCACAGGATTTTTCTGATGTGAAGCTTTACTTAGGGTGGCTTGAAAATTGTCTACACAAAGCCTCCTTTGTGTTGTCCAAAAGCCTTTG